GGCACTGGCAACTGGCTCACCGCAATCCCCATCGAACCCACACGACGGATAGGACCAAAGCACTTCGCCAACGCCGTGCGTTTCCGACTAGCCCTGCCGTTTTCAACTCCAAAGAATTGTGACTGCGCTGACCACACGGCTATCACTAACCCCCGCCTCCCGAATCACCTTCTCCGCTGCGGTACAGGCAAACAGCACATCAATACCCACAACGAACTGCGGGATGCCTGCGTTAGCATGGCGCAGGACGCGGGGTTTATAGTTCACAGAGAGTCGGCCGCATACTGCCCTGTCGAGGAACAGACGGCCGACTTCAGCATGACGGAAAGAAGCAGTGGGGCGGTCTATATCTGTGACGTTACCATCACAGACCCCATCAGCACCAGGGACCCGGAGGCACAAAAAGGCAGAGGGTGGGCGGCTCGAGAGCAAGCTGATAAAAAGATCAAGCACTATGCCAACCGACCGGAGACGGTTGGCTTTTTCCCACTGGCAGTAGACACTTACGGTTGCCCATGCGCAGAGGTACCCACCTTCCTCAAACTCCTAGCGGACACAGCGGCTCGGCAACACTTCAACGCCGACTCAAAATCCTTCTATGCCGCCAAGTTCCTGCACCAGTTCCGACAGAGATGGTCAGTGGCTCTTCAGAGGGCTCAATCCGTGGGGCTCCTACTTAAGTTGGGTGAGGCAGCGGTGGCAGAAAACCCACCTGTAGGAGGAATAGGGCAGGATCTGCACCTGGGGGACTGCTTTGCGGTAGTGGAGCCTTTTCTGGAGCTCTAGAGAGGGTAGTAGTGTGGTAGTTGTGTGATTAGTTGGTTTGGTTGTTTACTTGTCACAATGAGTTAGCTAGACCTTGCATCCATACCCTGCATGTTTGTACTTCCAAGCTCTATCAATACACGGACCATAAGAGAGAGAGAGAGAGAGAGAGAGAGAGAGAGAGAGAGAGAGAGAGAGAGAGAGAGAGAGAGAGAGAGAGAGAGAGAGAGAGAGAGAACGAGGGGTTTTGCGCGGGGGGATGAGAGGCGGACGGGGAGGGCGCAACCAACCACCCAGATCGGAAATCCCCGCGAGGACTGGTCCCTGGCGGGAGCGTCACGCCAGGCCTGAAAGAGTGATCCTGCAGACGAATGAGGGACAAGAAGCTTCTGACAACCCCGGGGCCGACCCAGAGTTTATGGCTGGGGAGGAGGAGACCTCTGAAGAAATCTCGTTGGAAGAGGAGGAGGCACCCAGGAGGAGGAACAACCCTGAACCTCAAACCGGGGCGGCGGGGGGGGGTATTCCTAGCAACCCAGCGGTAGGAGGAGCACCTGCCACGGAGGAGACTGACGTGCCTTCGCCGGCCGACCTGGCCGGCGACGACGCCATCTGGCACATGGCGGGGGAGTGGAATGTAGACGTGCTTCAGCGAGGGGACCAGCCATTCCTCGTCCGCCGGCTGCCACCACACCTCCTGGACAGGTACTGTCTGTGCATGCTGGCAGCACTCATTCGCCTGGATAAAAATCCCAGCTGCCCAGGTGGTTGGATGGTGCTGCTGTTCCTTCCGAGGCTCACCCTCAGGCCTGCGCCCGAACCTGTCTTGGGGAGTCGCTGGGCAGCGATTGAAGCTAGGCTGCACAAATTCCAACGAGGCGAATGGTCCGAGCTCTTCGAGGAAGCAGGAGTCATCCCCGACACAGGAGCCCCGGTACGGCACCAGCCTGACGAGGAAGGGGTTTGTGCACGAGCGGAGGGGTTAGTGAAAAAAGGAAACATTTCGAAAGCGGTAGCGGCTCTGCGAACGTCCCCCCTAGCAGAAGCAACCCCGGCTACACTTGAAGCTCTGCAAGCGAAACACCCTGCAGCGGGTAGCCAGATACCAGCGTGGGTTACCGGAATCACAGAGTCAGAACTGGCGGTTTCGCTGGACTCGCTTCGCGAAATCCTGGCGAAGTGCCCGAATGGTGTTGGGGCGGGACCCTCTGGTACTTGTTTTGAACACCTCCGAGACCCCGCCCTAGCTAACGAAGAGCTGCTGCTGTTTTTCGCCAAGATGGTAAATCGGCTGCTCAGCACTTTCCAGGCCTCCCACGTAAGGAAATTGCTACTACCTTCCCGTCTGATCACTCTAGAGAAGCCGAATGGGGGAGTGCGACCTATAGCAATAGGCGAAACCCTGCTACGCATAGTGGCGAAGGCGGCGCTGCATACCCTTGGGCCCAAGATTAGGGATTTTTTCTTACCAGTTCAGTTTGGCGTGGCAGTTCCAGGAGGTGCGGAGTGCATCATCCATACCGTCCGCTCTCTACTCCGTGAGGACAAGACCCGCATTGCCCTCCAGCTAGACATCGAAAACGCTTTTAACAGTGTCGAGCGACGGGCTTTCCTAGGCTCGCTGCAGTGGTCCAACCTGAGCTCGCTACTTCCCCTTGTCCGAAACCTGTACGACGGTCCATCGCCATTGCTCGTAGATGCTCGACTGGGAGTAGACCAAATCCAGAGCTCACGTGGCGTCAGACAGGGAGATCCCTTGGGCCCTCTCTTGTTTGCGGCAGCGATCCAGCCAGCCCTCATGAGCGTCTCGGCGACAACACCGGAAGTGGCAGTGGTAGCCTACGCGGACGACATCACCATTATCGGCCAGCGGGAAGCAGCGTGCCGTGCCTTCACCAAGATAGCGGATGACTTGGCAGAATATGGACTACGCTGCAACATTTCAAAGTCATCGGCGTGGGGAGCTGCGCACGACGGAGAGAACGAGGAGCTACCACTAGGCTTAGTTGCAGACCCGGGCGGGATACGGGTCCTTGGCAGTCCTATCGGCAGCAACGACTTCTGCACCACCCAAGTCCGGGCGGCACTGGAGGAAGCTGCCTCGCCCCTTCCCCTTGTCTCTCAGCTCAACCCGCAACATGCCATGCTTATAGTCTCCCGCAGCATCTCTCGCCGCATCTCATACATGCTGAGGACTACGCCGGCGACGACCCTGGGCGCAGAGGAGTGGAGGGACTGGAGTGAGGCATTGGTTGGCTCGGCGCTCACAGCTGCAAAGCTTCGCATCCCCAACTCGGAGTTGGAGCAGAGCCTACTGTGGCGACAGGCTACCCTCCCGATTCGGCTGGGTGGTTTAGGAATCATTGACCCTGTCTCGGAGGCCCCGGCTGCCTACATTGCTTCTGTCACGGCAGCGCACACCCTTCTCCAGCACCTGAATCTTCCCCCGGACTGCCTGCTACACAGAGCAACGGCCCTGCTCTCCCACGATTGGAGCCCACCACCGCCGGACAGCAGCACACTGTCGAGCTTAGAGGAGGGGCTGCCAGCTCAGGCACAGGTGGCGCTGGGAGCCTACAGGACGGGGAACAAGGGCACAGGCAGCCTGCAGCTGTGCCTCTCCAAAATCATCAACCAGCAGCGCGCGGTCGAGCTCCTGGGGGACACGGTGGTGGACAGGCCTGGCACCAACAGGGGTCACGCGCTGAGATTGATAAGCCTGAGAGGGACTGGCGCGGGTGACTGGCTACACGCGGTACCAACGAGAGCTGACCTCTCTATTTCCCCTGGTCAGTTCTCGTTGGCCCTGGGCCTACGCTTGGGCATGGAGTTGCCAGTAGCTGAGGTGTGCCCGTGCAAACGTGACAACTCAGCGATTGGGGACAAGAGTCTGCCGAACCACCTGCTGAGCTGCCAGGACGGGGGCGATGCAGTCAGAACCCACAACGCCCTAGTCTACGCGGCGCTGCGGATGGCTAATGAAGCGGGCTACAAAACGTTTCATGAGACCTCAGCATTCTCACCGCCAGTCCTCAGGAAACGAGCAGACCTAGCGATACGGGACCAGGAGTCAGGGGAAACATGGGTGACGGATGTCACCGTGACGGACCCAGTATTACAGAACAGAGACAGCAGGGCCCGCAGGCCGCCTGGGTGGGCCGCGGAGGAAGCCTCACAGAGGAAGCATCGGCTCTATGAAGGGCGCCCCACCTATGCCGGATTCTTTGGGCTGGCTGTCGAGACCTACGGGGCCATGGCGGCGGACACAGTCCAGTTCCTTCGCATGCTTGCTACCCACGCAGCGAGGACGAAGTTCAGACAGGGGCACCTCACAACAACTGCCGCTCGGCTCAATGCACACTACCGACAGAGGTGGTCAGTGATGCTGCAGCGCAGCCAAGCCATCTCACTCCTCTCCAAGTCCAACCGAGCAGATGAAGCGGCATTCCCACAGGCTGCGGGAGACCCCTGGGCCCCACGGCTAGGGGACCTCTGGCAGATGGCTGAGGATGAGTATGAGGAGCGGGAGGCTCCTGCCCGAGCGGCTTAGAGGGGCAGGAGGGAAAAAGAGAGGGCGGCGGAAGGAAGATGAGAGGAAGTTGCAGGGAGGAGGATAGGGGGCAGGGGGACTATGGTATGGTAGGAGGGAGCCACAGGACGGGAGGAGAGGGAGGTATTCGGGGTCGGGTGTTGCTGCTGGCCAGCATGTTTCAGTGCTAGGGGACTAGGGTGTACACACACGGCATGGCTGCTCGGCTTGCACTGCTTGCTTTGCTTTGCTCTGCTCGCTTGTTTGCATATTGGCTTGCATGTTTTGTTGGTTTGTTAGCTCTTGGTACCTGGTTGCCTACATGCTTAGACAGACTAGCTACAACCACCTCCTGCCATGTCTGTACCTCATGACCACTATCAATACATGACTACTTGAGAGAGAGAGAGAGAGAGAGAGAGAGAGAGAGAGAGAGAGAGAGAGAGAGAGAGAGAGAGAGAGAGAGAGAGAGAGAGGAATAGCCTCTGCCCTCTGGCCTTAGCCTCTGCCCTCGGTTGCCTAGCTACTTAAGGGCCCGTCTTAGCCTTCTCCTCCTCATTGTTCAGTTGGCGGCTGAAATTTTCCGCTCGCGTCGGCCGGCCGCGCCGTCGAGGGGACGGCAAGTAACCACACATAGCGCTGTTTAAAAACACATGCATTACACACATGGCAACTCCTACCGCGGCCTAGCCGCGTGAACAACAAAATGGAGCAACCGGAGCCCGCGCCTACATGCGGTGAGCTCCAAGGGCGTGAAGAACGCCCGTCAGGGAGCGCCACAGCTCCCGGACCACAAGCGTGCTTGCGCCGATCGCCGCGGCTCCAGATCCTTCGCGCAAGTGCCGCCTCAAGCCCCGGACAGCCTCGTCAAGCTGTCCCGCAGCAGCAGCCCCACCCTCCGCGGGCGCAGCCAACACGGGCGCCAGCAGCGACGCGAGCTGGTCCGCCGCGTCCAAGCACGTGTCACGCTGGCGTTCGCGGAAAGTCTCTGGAGGAGTCACGGGGAGGGACGAGTGAGCGAGAACTTGAATCAGCAGCAACGCGTGGAGGCTCTCCGCGAGTCGGTGAAGCTGGCCAAGCGTCGCCTCTGGAACACGCGTCTGCGGAGGCTGCAGTGCCTCCGTCAGGAAAAGAAGTGGCTCTTCCGCAGCACCATGGTGGGAATACTACGCCGACGAGCCACCACCCGCAGCAACAAACTCCACTCCCGCAACAGGCGGAACCGGCGGCAGATGGAGACGAGAGCCAGAGGGAGGGGCCGAGGCAGCAGGAGCATGAACCGATGGGGCAAAGTCAGGAGGGGGAAGTGCAGCGGCTGGCGGAGGGACCACGGGAGGCTCAGCCAGACGAGGAGCCACGCGCGCTGGCGCGGCCCGCAGCGAACTGCTCTGGCTCTGCGCCGCCCGCTCTTCGCGCACGGCCCGCGACACTTCCCGCTGAAGATCCGCCATTGTCACAGGCCGGCGGTAACCCCCGCCACCGCCACGCCCGCGGGGACCCCTCCAGCCCGCATTACCACCGGGGTGAGCAGGCCATTGGGCCGGCGGCTGGTAGCGCCGGGGAGAGTTGCGCCGGCGCCGCGACGACTCGCGCTCCTGTTGGGGCGCGGGAGAGTGGGGGCGGGATAGGCGGCGGTCCGGCGACGGGGGACGAGACGGCTGCGCTACCGGGGCCGTCGGGAGCGCAGCAGGTGCAGTCGGGTCCACGGCCGGAGCCTCAACCATCGGGGTCGGGCCGCCAGTGGTGGCGGACCCCGCCTGCGGGGACGAAGCAGACAACGGCGCAGGCACGTCGGGGACAGAAGCGGCCGGCGCAACGGGCGCGCCAGGGGCAGGAGCAGGGGGGTCAGCAACTCCCCCAGGAGGAGCAGACGCCGTCGGCACAACCACAGGAGCGAGGGGAACAAGAGCTGCAGCCGGAGCAGCCGGATCAACAACAGGGGCAGCCGGGCCCGCCCCGCCCCCGCCATGGGGATCCGCGGGTGCGAGGGGAAGAGTCCTTTCAGCGTCTGTTGTCACGGGCTTCAGAGCCGGCGGTAGAGGGGGCTTCGTCGCCATGGTCACCTTTTCGGGCCCCGACGGAGGCTTGGCGACGACAGCCGACCAGGCGGCAACAAGCTCTGGCGACGGCTCATGAGCTCCGGCAATCACCATCGGGAGAGCAGGGAGGTCGTGAAGGCCGGAGGCTGGTAACTAGCGGGACAGGCGGGGGTCCGGAGAACGGGTACCAAGCAGCGGCGAGAATGGCTTTAACAGTGTTGGCAGCAACTAATGAAGACGAGGAGTTGAGGGACCCTTCTTATAGGGAAGAACCCCTCCCACCAAGCGAAGATGAGGAATCGGAGGGAGAAGGCAGGGTGAGAGAGGCAGAAGGGAGAAGTGCAGGCGGGGTGGGCCGCTCGTCCACGCAAATACCACAGGCGGATCAGCAACCGTCAGATGCAGATCGAACGGGTGACAATCCAACCACTGACACCCCAGCAAGGACGAGCCGCGGTAGACGAAATCGAACCGCCGCTGCCAATACCGTGACGCGCCAAACTATTCTGCTCCCCCGCTACTTTTCGCCTGACGAGCTGGCGAGGCGTGAGGACTTATTCGCGGCCATCGCTGGCTGGGACATTGGAGCTCTCTGCGACAGTCGTCAGCCTACGCTGTCACGCCGTTTACCGCCAAACCTATGCCAGCTGTTTTCGCAGGCGCTTTTGACACCGTTACTCCACCTTTCGCGAAACCCCGAATCCGAAACGGGTTGGCGACTGCTGCTGTTTCTTCCTCGACTAACACTTCGCCAAACATCGCCACAGCGACCAGACTGGCGGGGGGTCAAAGCCAAGCTCCGGGCCTTCCAGCGTGGCGAATGGGAGCGGCTGTACCTGGACACGGTGGACGCGGTCAACACACCCCCACCGCTACGACACCAGCCTGACACGACCGGAGTCATCAGCCGAGCTGAGGGGCTCGCGAAACGGGGCAGTCTACGCCGAGCCGTGCTGGCTCTGGAGTCAACGCCAGTCTGCACCCCCAGCCCGGAAATTTTGGAGGAGCTCCGTCAGAAACACCCACCTGCTGCGCACGAGGCGGTGATCTGGCCCGTGCCACCCGAGACGAAGCTGTCCATCACCCACGCCGAATTCGCCAAGATCCTGGGAAGATGCGAGAATGGGGTGGGGGCCGGTCCGTCAGGCACAACATTTGAGCACATGCGCGACGCGGCCACCACTAACGCAATGATCAGCACCCACCTGCACGCCTTGGTCAACACCCTGCTGGGGGGAAATTTGCCAGGCCCGGTCGCGAGCCTCCTGACTGCGTCACGGCTGATAGCCCTGGCCAAACCTGGGGGAGGAGCCAGGCCCAATCGCGATAAGCGAGTGTTTGACAAGGCTGACAGCCAAGGCAGCCCTGACAGCCATGGGGGAAGCTGCCCGAGAATATTTCTTACCACTTCAGTACGGCGTGGCAGTCCCAGGTGGAGCAGAGACGGTTATCCACACAGCCCGAGCATTCCTGGATGCCCGCCCAAACTGCCTGGTCCTGCAAGCCGATATTTCCAATGCATTCAACAGTATCTCGCGACACGCCATCGCCACAGCGTTACACGACCCCAAGCTCTCGCCACTGCAGCCGTTCGTGAAACTGACCTACGGTAACCCGTCGCAACTGCTCCTGGACTCGAAATTCAACTGCGAACCGTTGCACAGTGAACGGGGTGTGCGGCAGGGGGACCCACTCGGCCCGCTACTGTTTGCAGCAGGGATACACCCCACGCTTCGCGACACTGCAGAAGCACACCCCGACGTGCTTTGCTTGGCGTACGCGGATGACGTCACCTTCCTGGGTGACCCATCGCGCACTGTAGCGGCTTTCATGCACTTCACAGCAAAATTAGCACAGCTGGGCCTGACGCATAACCCGCAGAAATGCGCGGCGTGGAGCTCAACCGCATTACCACAGACTCAACTTCCGCCCGGGGTGCCGTTTTCCAAGGACGGAGTACGGCTTCTAGGTAGCTACGTCGGGACTGACGTAGGAGCAGCCGGTTTTCTTTCGGGCCAGTTAGAGGAGATGGCTAAGCCATTACCGCTGATAGAGCGAGCAGACCCACAGGTGGCAGCACTACTCCTCACGCGATGTATTTCCAGGCGCGTAGCTTACCTCATTAGGACGACTCCGCTCCACTTACTCCCTCGCGCCACCTGGAGCCAGTGGGGAAGGGACCTACTCATTACCTTACTCACCTCATGCGACATCCGCGTGCCAACATGTAGCGCCGAGCAAAAACGTGTCTGGGAACAGGCGTCATTGCCGACGTCGCTAGGCGGCATAGGCATAACGGACCCGGTCGTAGAAGGGATCTACGGTTTCACAGCGAGCTTCACCCAAGCGGACCTTTTTCTATCCTCCCTTGCGCTAGAACCTGACAGTGCGTTGACTTTGGCCAGGATTCACATGGTGGCACCCCGGGACGACAGCACCCCCCTGCACTCGTGGCTCACAGAGTGCGAAGCAGCCCTGCCTCTAGACGCGCGGGAAATCCTGGAGAAGGAGCGGTTAGAGCGATCGGACGTTAGGCTTCAGCACGTGCTTGGTTTGAAGGTGCACGGGAGCAGATACGCCGCACAGGTCCAGGCAACTAGGCACATGCAACCAAACCCTCTCTCGGGCCATACGCAGCGGATGTTCTCGCTGACTGGGTACGGCACCGGGGATTGGCTGACCGCGATCCCAATCGAGGCCACTAGACGAATAGGCCCCGTGCACTTCGCGAACGCTGTGCGGTTTCGGCTGGGCCTCCCCTTTTCCACGCCTAAGAACTGTGACTGCGCAGAACAGACGGCTATCACAGACCCCCGCCTCCCGAACCACCTCCTCCGCTGCGGCACGGGCAAGCATCGCGTTAACACCCACAATGAGCTGCGGGATGCGTGCATTAGCATGGCGCAGCACGCGGGTTTCATTGTTCACAGCGAGTCGGCTGTTTTCTGCCCCATCCAGGAACAAACCGCAGATTTCACCATGACGGACAGGAGCAGTGGGGCGGTTTACGTGTGTGACGTCACCGTCACTGACCCTATCAGCACAAGGGACCGGGAGGCAGAGAAAGGCAGGGGCTGGGCGGCACGAGAACAAGCTGATAAGAAAATCAAGCATTATGCCAACCGGCCAGAGACAGTGGGTTTTTTCCCTCTAGCGGTAGACACCTATGGCTGTCCATGCGCGGAAGTCCCTGTCTTCCTTAAACTACTCGCGGATACTGCGGCTCGGCGGCACTTCAACGCCGACTCAAAATCTTTTTACGCCGCCAAGTTTCTGCACCTATTTCGGCAGCGCTGGTCAGTGGCCCTGCAGAGGGCCCAATCGGTTGGTCTCCTCCTCAAGTTGGGCAAGGCGGCAGCAGCAGAGAACCCGCCTGTAGGGGGTATCGGTCAGGAGCTCCATCCAGGGGACTGTTTTGCGGTGGTTGAGCCCTACCTAGAGCTCTAGGGGAGGGAATGGGTAGGTAGTGATGTTTGTGTTGTGGTTTCTGGTTTGTTCTAGAATCTTAAAACACCTGCATGCATGTACTTTTCACCTATATCAATACAAGGACCATTAGAGAGAGAGAGAGAGAGAGAGAGAGAGAGAGAGAGAGATAGAGAGAGAGAGAGAGAGAGAGAGAGAGAGAGAGAGGGAGAGAGAGGGAGAGGGAGAGAGAGAGAGAGATGTCAAACATTATACATGTTTATATTGTGTAGGCTATAGTGGTTTAGCCTTAGAGAGTACAACATTGCTAGGGTTTCCTATTTGTATCACCCTGCTGCCTAGTTCACTTCATTCTCGTTCAGTTCTAGTTTCTAACATGGTATCCGACGCCTAGGTCAGGACCTAGGACCGACGTTGGTTAGGGCCCACCGTTCCGCCGCGCCCTTGTGCGCCCCTATCCGCGCCGTCGAGCGCCCCTCCTAGCGCCGTCGAGCGCCCCTCCTAGCGCCGTCGAGCGCCCCTCCTAGCGCCGTCGAGCGCCCCTCCTAGCGCCGTCGAGCGCCCCTCCTACTAGCGCCGTCGTGCGCCCCTAGGACAGCCGCGCGCGCCGCCCGTCAGCCGCACGCGCAGCCGCCCACTCCGCCGCACGCGCAGCCGCCCACTAGGCCGCACGCGCAGCCGCACGCACGACCGCACGCACGGCCGCCCGCTAGGCCGCACGCACGACCGCACGTGCAGCCGCACGCGCAGCCGCACGTGCAGCCGCACGCGCAGCCGCCCGCGCAACCGCACGGGCAGCCGCCCACGCAGCCGCACGCGCAGCCGCCCGCTACGCCGCCCGCACGGCCGCTCGCTAGGCTGCACGCACGACCGCACGCGCAGCCGCACGCGCAGCCTGCTGCCCCCGCGCAGCACCACACCCGCGCGCAGGCAAGCCGCCGCGCCGCCCTGCCCGAGCCGAGCCGCGCCGCGCCGCCCTTCCCGAGCCGCGCCGCGCCGCCCTGCCCGAACCGAGCCGTGCCGCCCTGCCCGAGCCGCGCTGTGCTATTTCACTGCTGCTGCTACTACTGCTGTTGCTGCTGCTACTACTGCTGCTGTTCCTACTGCTCCTACTGAACCTATGGCTAGTCCTTCAGTTCTAGCTTTCGATACTGAGGGCCGCCCGCTGCGTTTTGAAACCTGGCTCGAGGACCTCCATCTGTTCCTCCAGCTCACTGCTAAGGAGGATATTTCGCTATATGATCATGCGTTGGGACTCGCTCCTGCTCCTGCTGCGACTGCGGACAGTACAGCCCGCTCACAGTGGCAGACTCGTGACGCCCACTCTCGCTTCGCCATTCGCAACTCCCTGCCGGTAGATGAACGCGAGCACTTTGGCCAGCACAAGACTGCCCAGGCACTGTACACTGCTGTAGTTGCGCGCTACTCCTCGCCTGCCTCTGCTGCGCTAGGCCGCCTCTCACTGCCCTATATGTTCCCAGACCTGTCCGCCTTCTCCACAGTCGCTGACCTCATTACTCACCTCCACACCAGTGAGACCCGCTTCCGTGCTGCCATGCCCGCTGAGTTCCTTGCCAAGAACCCCCCCCCGCTGTGGCTCACTCTTTACCACCTGGTCACCCGTCTCCCTGACTCCCTTCGTGCGGTCAGGGACCACTTCCTTGCTCTCTGCCCCACCGAGCTCACCATTGACCTGCTTGAGAAGCACCTGCTGGCAGCTGAGACTAGCATAGTCGCTGTCGGTGCGTCTCGCGGCGACCCCCGCACCCCTTTCTTTGAGGGGTGTTCCCCCTCCCCTCTTCTCCCCTCTGTCGCCTCTGCTGCTGCTGTCGACCTTCTTGGTGCTGAGAAGGTCGGGACTGCGTCCACTGCGAGTGGGGCGCGCCGCAGCGGCAAGGGCAAAGGGGGCAAGGGGGGCGGCGGTGACGACGGGGGAGGCGGTGGTGGGGGCGGTGGCGGCGGTGGGGGTGGTGGCGGGGCTGGAGGGGCCAGTGGCAGCGGCGGGGGTGGTGGCGGCAGCGGCGGGGGTGGTGGCGGCAGCGGCGGGGGTGGTGGAGGCAGCGGTGGAGGAGGTGGCCGGGGTGGGGGCGGTGGTGGTGGCGGCAGTGGACGCGGTGCCGGTGGTGGTCGAGGTGGCGGCGGCGGCGGTGGAGGTCGTGGAGGTTCTGGCGGTGGCCAGCGCCAGCAGCAGACCCCGTCGCCCCAGGAGCTTCGTGAGTGGTACTCTCAGCGTGGGGGGGGTGGCCTTAGATGCCCGTACATCATCCGCACAGGTGACCGCACTGGTCAGACGTGTGGGAGGGCGCACACGCAGCAGCGCTGCTTCTCCCGCCTCGACGACGCCTGGCGCACTCAGTTTCCTACTGCCACTGAGCTGCCCCGCTGGTTTGATCTGATCAAGAAAAACATTGATGTCTATGCTCTTGACTTTGATGCTATTCTTGGTGCCATGTATGTGTTGTCTGGTAGTGGAGAGGGTGACTGTTACCTGCGTTACCCGCCCGACCCGGGCATTAGGACCAGTGAGGCTGCCGCACTAGGTGCTCGTGTGTCTGTTGCCCCAGGTGCTGGTGAGGCTGCCGCTCTAGGTGCTAGTGTGTCTGTTGCCCCAGGTGCTGGTGAGGCTGCTGCTCAAGGTGCTCGTGAGTCTGCGCCCTCTGGTACTGCGTCTACTGAGGCACTGCACACCTTCACACTGGACTCAGGTGCTTCCCGCTGTTTCTTTCGTGACCGCACTGCCCTTGAGCAGCTTGCTCGGCCGGTTGCAGTCTCCCTCGCTGACCCCTCTGGGGGTCCGGTCATTGCGACCTCCTCCACTGTCCTCCCTTGTCCTGCGGTCCCGTCAGGCACACTGTCCGGTCTCTACCTCCCCTCGTTCTCTACGAACTTGGTGGCGGGTCGTGCGCTCCAGGACGGGGGTGTCCACCAGTTCAACCCTGCCTACGAGCGCGTGACACACTGCACGTGTGCTAGGACGGGTCGCCACCTGGCTACCTTCAGTCGGCAGCCGGGGTTGGACCTGTACACACTGACCACTGAGTCCCCTCAGGTAGCTGCGTCTGCGTCTGCGTCAGGTCAGCTGTCGGCCCCCTGCTCGTGTCGCTCCCTGTCGCACCAGACCGTCCTCTGGCACCACCGCCTTGGTCACCCGTCAGTGCAGCGCCTTCGTGGCATGCACTCCCGGTACCTTGTCTCTGGTCTTCCCAGGGTTCTCCCTCCCCTCCCACCCTCGCCTGCTCCTCCCCGTCTTCCCTGTGTCGAGGGGCAGCAGCGCGCCGCTCCTCACTCCTCGTTTCCCCCGACGACTGCTCCCCTGCAGACCCTCCACATGGACGTGTGGGGCCCAGCCCGCGTCCGTGGACAGGGTCACGAGAGGTACTTCTTGATAGTTGTTGACGACTACTCGCGCTACACTACGGTCTTCCCCTTGCACACCAAGGGTGAAGTCCCTGATGTTTTGATCCCTTGGATCCGCGCTGCCCGTCTCCAGCTCAGCGAGAGGTTCCACTCGGACTTTCCTGTTCTGCGACTGCACTCTGACAGAGGTGGGGAGTTTTCCTCCGACCTCTTGAGGGACTTTTGTCGTGGGGAGGGCATTGAGCAGTCGTTCACGCTTCCGGCCTCTCCACAGCAGAATGGGGTTGCTGAGCGCCGCATTGGCTTGGTCATGGAGGTCGCTCGTACCTCCTTGATCCATGCGGCTGCCCCCCACTTTCTGTGGCCGTTTGCGGTCCGATACGCTGCGCATCAGCTCAACCTCTGGCCCCGTGTCTCCGTTCCGGAGACTTCGCCGACACTGCGTTGGACGGGAGAGGTTGGCGATGCGTCGGTGTTTCGGGTCTGGGGATCTCGTGCTTTTGTCCGCGATACGTCCGCGGACAAGTTCTCCTCCCGCGCTGTTCTTTGTGTCTTCCTTGGCTTTGTCCCGGACGCGTCTGGTTGGCAGTTTTACCACGCCACCTCGCGCCGTGTCCTGCCCTCTCAGGACGTCACTTTTGACGAGTCGGTCCCCTTCTACCGCCTCTTCCCTTACCGCACTGCCCCGCTCCCCCCCCCGCCTCTCTTCCTCGCACCAGGTGCTGCTGTGGTAGACCCCCTCCCCCCTCAGGGTGCCGCTCCCTCAGGTGTGTCCCAGGTAGACCCGGTTGAGCCTGTCGAGGTAGCTGTCGACTCTCGTCCTGCTAGGGGTGCTGAGCCTGAGCGTGCGGAGCCTGGGGGTGCTGAGCCTGCGGGTACGGAGCCTGGGGGTGCGGAGCCTGGGGGTGCTGAGCCTGAGGTTGCTGAGTGTGGGGGTGCTGAGCCTGAGAGTGCTACGTCTGAGGGTACTGAGCCTGGGGGTGCTGCGACTGACCGTGCGGCGCCTGGAGGCGCTCCCTCTTCACAGCAGCTGCGTGAGTGGTACTCACAGTACTGCAGCCTCAGGAGGGGCGCTTCTGGGGCTAGGGGTGCTGCTGGAGCTGGCACTCGTGGTTCCCCGCCTAGGCGGGAGCCGCCCTCTCCCCAGCGGCTCCGAGAGTGGTACGCTCGACGCTGCAGTCTCCGGAGTGGCGCTGCTGGTGCTTTGGACCCTGGAGCTGGAGCTGCTGCTGGTGCCGCGGACCCTGGAGTTGGAGCTGCTGCTGGTGCTGAGGACCCTGCCGTTGGAGCTGCTGCTGGTGCTGAGGACCCTGGAGCTGGAGCCGCTGCTGGTGCTGCGGACCCTGGAGCTGGTGCTGCTGGTGCAGGAGCTGCTGGTGGTGCTGCTGGAGGTGCTGCTGGTGCTGGAGCTGCTGGAGGTGCTGCTGGTGCTGCTGGAGGTGCTGCTGGTGCTGGAGCTGCTGGAGGTACTGCTGGTGCTGGAGCTGCTGGAGCCGCTGGTTCTGGAGGTGCTCGTACTGGAGGTACTGGTGCTGCTGGGACTGGAGCCGCTGCGGGGGTTGGAGCTGGAGTTACTGGAGCTGCTGGAGCTGCTGGTGGTGCTGCGGGAGTTGTAGCTGGAGACCCTGGGGCTGAGGGTGCTGGTGTTGTCTCTGCTGGTTCAGGAGGTGCTGCGCGGCCGCGGCCGTACTACGTTCCGCTCCTTCAGCAGGTTCTTGACCTCCCGCCCTCTACTGGTCCTACTCCTCCCCTACTGAGTCCACCACCTGTTCAGTCGCAGTCACAGTTACCGCTTGCCTCTCCGCTGCCTGATCCTTCTCCTTACGCTGGGCCAACTAGAGGTCTTACGGAGCGTCGTGAGCCTGAGTCTCGTCTTGCGTCGCCTGAGTCTCGTCCTGCGTCGCCTGAGTCTCGTCCAGAGTCGTCTGTCCGCGCTGTCCGCGCTGGTCGTCGTGCTCCGCGCCAGCGTCCTCCTCCTGTACTTGGCACTCACTATATGACTCTGCGTCCTTCCACTGCTCCACAGCGTGAGAGAGAGGGAGAGAGAGGGAGAGGGAGAGAGAGAGAGAGAGAGAGAGAGAGGGAGAGAGAGAGAGAGAGAGAGAGAGAGAGAGAGAGAGAGAGAGAGAGAGAGAGAGAAGCACCAGGTGGAGCAGAAGCGGTTATCCACGCAGCCAGGGCATTTCTTGATGCCCGTCCCGACAGCCTGGTACTGCAGACGGACATTTCAAATGCCTTCAACAGTATTTCACGACAAGCCATCGCAACAGCGTTATAGGAGCCTGGCCTCTCGCCACTGCTGCCGTTAGTTCATCTGACTTACGGTAACCCGTCGCTGCTGCACCTGGACGCCAACTTCAGCAGCGAACCACTGAAAAGCGAACGCGGTGTTCGCCAGGGCGACCCACTCGGCCCGTTACTATTTGCAGCGGGTATACACCCCATACTCCACGAAACGGCCGAGGCATATCCGGACGTGCTCTGCCTGGCGTACGCGGATGACGTCACCTTTTTGGGGGAGACACCACAAACTGTAGCAGCTTTCACGTACTTCACCGATAAACTGGCCCACATAGGCCTAACGCATAACCCGCAGAAGTGCGCAGCCTGGAGCGCGTCCACGGTAGAACAGGCGCAGCTACCACACGGAGTTCCGCATTCAAAGGAGGGCGTGCGGCTTCTGGGAAGCTACCTGGGATCCGATACGGGAGCGGCCAAATTCCTATCAGGGCAGCTAGAAGAGATGGCGAAGCCATTACACCTCCTTGAACGAGCTGACCCTCAGGTAGCTTCTCTGCTACTTACCCGCTGCATCTCCAGGCGTGTGGCTTATCTCACTAGAACGACACCCCTCCACCTACTCCCTCGCGATACTTGGAGCCGGTGGGGACGGGACCTGCTCATTGCTCTGCTAGTGTCATGCGATATCCGCGTCCCCACGTGTGGATCCGAGCAGGCTCGTGTATGGGCGCAGGCGTCACTGCCACCATCACTGGGCGGCATAGGCCTCACGGCATAGGCCTACCCGGTGTACGGGTACACGGCGAGTTTCACCCAGGCGGCGCTCTTTCTCTCCTCCCTCGCGCTAGAACCAAACAACGCCTTGATCCAAGCTCGGAATCACATGCTCCTGCCCCGGGACGATACCACACCACTACACACATGGCTTACCGAGTGCGAAGCGGCATTGCCATGGGATGCGCGGGAGATCCTGGAGAAGGAGCGACTGAAACGGTCGGATGTTCGGCTACAACACGTACTCGGCCTGAAGGTCCACGGAAGCAGATACGCCGTGCAGGTGCAGGGCACAAGGCGCATGAAGCCGAACCCCCTCTCAGGCCACACGCAGCGGATGTTCTCGCTAACGGGATACGGCACCGGTGACTGGCTGACCGCGATCCCCATTGCCCCAAACAGACGGATAGGACCAGTACACTTCGCCAACTCCGTGCGCTTTTGGCTCGGGCTCCCGTTTTCAACGCCAAAGAACTGCGACTGCTCTGACCACACAGCTATCACCGACCCCCGCCTCCCAAATCACCTCTTCCGCTGCGGCACAGGCAAGCACCGCATTAACACCCACAACGAGCTGCGGGACGCATGCATTAGCATGGCGCAGGATGCGGGGTTTATAGTTCACAGCGAGTCGGCCGCCCACTGCCCCATCGAAGAACAGACGGCCGATTTCACCATGACAGATAGAAGCAACGGGGCGGTCTATGTCTGTGATGTTACCATCACGGACCCCATCAGCACAAGGGACCCAGAGGCACAGAAAGGCAGGGGTTGGGCAGCACGAGAGCAGGCCGACAAAAAGATAAAGCATTACGCAAACCGACCGGAGACGGTTGGCTTCTTCCCTCTGGCTGTGGAAACCTACGGCTGCCCATGCGCCGAGGTACCAGTTTTCCTGAAGCTCTTGGCAGACACGGCGGCTCGGCGCCACTTCAACGCCGACTCTAAATCCTTTCATGCCGCTAAGTTTCTGCACCAGTTCAGACAAAGATGGTCGGTGGCCCTTCAGAGGGCCCAATCTGTGGGCCTCCTACTCAAGCTAGGCGAGGCGGCAGCAGCAGAGAACCCGCATGTAGGCGGTATTGGGCAGGAGCTGAACCTAGGGGACTGTTTTGCGGTGGTCGAGCCCTTCCAAGAGCTCTAGAGGAGGTAGTCGGTAGGATTTGTTGCTTTGCTTGTTTGTTACCTATGCCTCTATAACTTGCATGCTTGTACTTTGCTGCTATATCAATACAAGGACCATTAGAGAGAGAGAGAGAGAGAGAGAGAGAGAGAGAGAGAGAGAGAGAGAGAGAGAGAGAGAGAGAGAGAGAGAGAGAGAGAGAGAGAAGCGCCAGGTGGAGCAGAAGCGGTTATCCACGCAACCAGGGCATTTACTCTCTCGAGTTCAGGGCATCCACGAAGTGGTGAGTTCAGTTTACTCTCCAAAACCGGCGGCTCGCTCGAGAGAGCGAGAGAGAGAGAGAGAGAGAGAGAGAGAGAGAGAGAGAGAGAGAGAGAGAGAGAGAGAGAGAGAGAGAGAGAGAGAGAGAGAGAGAGAGAGAGAGAGAGAGAGATGGCCAAGGACTAGTCCTTAGCCGTTTTAGCCCTCTCTAGTGTAGATTCTAGTCCTTAGCCGTTTTCCAGCCTAGTTTCCTAGTATAAAGCCTCTAGAGGCACCCCTTTGAGCTCATTCTTCACTGGTGAGTTCAGTTTACTCTCCAAAACCGGCGGCTCGCGCCGGCCGCCTTCGGCGGCCGTCGCTCGCCGGCGCGGCCTCCGGCCGCGCGTGAGGTGTGACAAGGGTAGAGGGAAACAAAGATTATAACGACAAGCAATACAACATGCAGTAGCGGCAACCTACTCCAACAGCACCACCCCCAGGCGTGGACTAACCGCCATGGGGATGCCCAAGCCCAAGCCTAACAACAACAAGGCTGGCGAAGGGGACGCAACGCCTACTCTACAAGGAGCCACACCAGCCGGCCGTCCAACCAGCGCAGCACGGATGCCGCGGCCGGAAGCAAGCCGAATGGACCCTGCTGAGCACATGCTGCCAGGCGCCTCACGGCAGCCGGCCCAGGGCCAGCGGCAATCCCGGGAGACCCCATATCCAGCCCCAACTGTGGGAGAGACTCCAGCACCTCGTCCGCTGCAGCAGCGGCCAGCTCCCGCTCCCCCGCTGCTAGAGGCGGGCACTTCACCTTGCGGCGCACCAGGCACGCGTGGAGCTGATCCAAGATCGTTGCCACATGGTTCAGGCAGTAGCCTGCGGTCACTACGTGCTGCTCGACGAGCAGCAGCCTCTCCGCAGGTGAACGTTCCTCCCACAGGCTCCAGCGCTCGTCAAGGGTTGGTGCAGGCGGCACAACGGGGCCTTCTCCTGCCACTGGGTACCCCAGCTCATCCCACGGAATTGGGATTTGACGGCCGCCAAGAAACAACTGCGGATACCCCGCTGGCACTGCTGGCGGAGCAGTCCAGGCGGAGGACCGAGGAGGCGGTGGCGGAAGAAGGGGAGCCGGCGCAGAGCTGGTCGGCAGCGGCGGCATCATCGGCTGTACCTGGTCCGCTGGCGCTGCTGGAGATAGCTGCGCCTGTGTGGCCAGCAGAGGGGGAGGCGGCTGAACCGGGGACTGGAGAGGAGGTGGAGGTGGCGCCTGAGATCGCCGCTGTTGCTGGCGCTGGCGTCGGCTCATTTTTGCCCGCTGCCATGGAGACTGTCGCACTACCTGCGCATACGACACGGGCGGAGGTGGAGGTGCAGGGACAAGCGGGAGAACAGGGGCGGGCGGAGGAGCAGGAGCGGGGGGAGGAGCAGGGACAGGCGGAGGGATCGGCGGCGGCGGCGGGGCCACCTGAACTGGCGGCTGCAGCTGCGGCAGTTGCAGAGGAGGTACGCGAAGTCGATCTGGCCGAGGAGGTCGGTGCGGCTGACGCTGCGAGCGCCGGAACGTCTGCTGTTGCCGCGGACGCAAGCACGCAGGGGCGCGGCCAGGGGGAGAGTGATAGACAGCCTCACGGGACCGGTGCTGCTGCCCACGCCGCCCGCGCGAAAGCCGGGAAGAAGCTCCGCGCCCAGCCAGCGCCGAGGCGGCCCGGAGCAGGGCTGGGACCTGGCGCCCCGGGACCCCTCCGGGGCTGGCTTCTGCAAGGGCAGTTGCCACAAGCGCAAGCGCATCCACCTCCATCACACGAAGCATGCGAGGGAGACGAAGGCACAAGTCAGCCCGCAGCAAGTACTGCCGTTCACGGACGGGAGGATCACGGGGCACAAGACGAAACAGCACCTGACATCGTGCTTACCCGCCGAGCAGGAACCACGGCCCAGCAACAAACGCGCCGTGAAACGCGCAGCAGTACGCGTGTCCAAGGAATTGTCTGGGGACGGCCGGCTATGACACGTAACGGTGCACCACAAACACCGTGGCTGCCGGCGGGAAGGGCGCCACAAGCTGGACGGGGTGGACGAAACACCGTGACTCCCGCAAGAGGAGAAACCGCAGCCCGCGGTGGTCGCAGTGGGCGCGGCGGAGCGAGAGGGGCAAGAAGCGGAAGAGGCGCACTCGTGGGCGGAAGGGAGGCGCTGCTCAGATCGGGAACGTGGCGGGAACGCCACGATCGGCCAGAGAGAGACGTGGCCCCAGCGTATCAGGACGAAGAGGGTGCTGACAACCCAGATGACGAGGAGGAATTTATCCCCTCCCAGTCACATGCCACAGAGGAGATCTCGTTGGAGGAGGAGGGAGGCACACCAAGGGGGCGCCAGAGGAGAGGGGGTACAGGGGCGAGGCAAGGCGGGACATCTGCCCCAACCGGAGCAGAAGCTGCTGCCGCCGCTGCTGACGGTTCGGCGAGAGAGGGAGCGGGAGAATCAAGCGTGTTATCGCCGGCTGAGCTGGCAGCAAACGACGCCATCTGGCAACGGGCAGCCACGTGGGATGTAGCTAATCTCCAGCGGGGGGACCAACCTTTTCTGGTCCGCAGAATGCCGCCGAAAATCTTGGAGAGTTACACCCTGTGCGTCCTGTCACCACTCCTCCGCCTTTCGAAAAATCCTGACTGTCCAGGAGCATGGGCGATATTACAGTTCCTTCCGAGGCTGACCCTCCGCCCGCTCCCCGAACCAGTTGAAGGGTCACGTTGGGTGGGGATTGAAGGGAGGCTGCATCAATTCCAGCGAGGTGACTGGGAAGGGCTTTTCGAGGAGGCAAGCGTCATCCCCGTCACTGAGAATCCGATTCGACACCAAGCCGATGATACGGGACTCTGCGCAAGGGCGGAGGGTTTAATCCGTAAGGGAAATATTTCAAAGGCCGTTGCGGCGTTACGGACAACCCCGCTTGCAGACACTACACCAGAAACACTCGCAGCCCTGCAAGCGAAGCACCCAGCTGCAGGTTCGCCAACGCCGCGGTGTGTAACCGGTTATACCCAATCTACGCTGAAAGTCAACCCTGACGACCTTCGCGAAATCCTCAAACGGTGCCCAAACGGGGTGGGAGCAGGACCTTCAGGCACCTGCTTTGAACACCTCAAAGATCCTGCACTCGCGAATGAAGAAGTCCTCATCCAACTCGCTACGTCCATCTCATACCTCCTTAGTACCTTCCAGACACAAGCCGTCCAGGACCTGCTGTTACCATCGAGACTCATAGCGCTGGAAAAGCCGGGAGGAGGTGTTCGTCCAATAGCGATTGGAGAGGCACTACTGCGGGTTGTGGCGAAAGCGGCCCTCAAGGAACTCTCCCAGAACATCCGCGAGTTTTTCCTACCCGTACAGTTCGGCGTGGCAGTAACGGGCGGCGCGGAGTGCATCGTTCATTCAGTTAGGTCACTGCTGACGGAGGACGAGACTCGTATCGCCCTGCAGATCGACATTGAGAATGCCTTCAATAGTGTTGAACGCGCAGGCTTCTTTACAGCGCTCTCGCAGTCCAGTCTACTCTCGCTACTGCCACTCGTTCGCACACTCTACGACAAGCCGTCACGCCTACTCGTGGACCATAGACTCGGTGTCGACCATATCGTGAGCGCGCGGGGAGTTAGACAAGGCGATCCGCTAGGACCCCTTCTGTTCGCGGCTGCGATCCAGCCCACTCTGTTAGGCACGGCGACACTGCTTCCCGAGGTAGCAGTCGTCGCGTACGCCGACGACATTACGATCGTCGGCCCTCGAGATGCTGCCTACGAAGCCTTCAAGAACATCACGAGGGAGCTCGCAACGCTTGGGCTCCACTGCAACATCGCGAAGTCAACGGGTTGGGCTGCAAATGAAGGGGAAAATGAGATACCACCACCTGAGGGCCTGCCGATGAGCACCGCGGGCATAGGCGTCTTGGGGAGCCCGATAGGCACGGCGGAATTCTGCACCGACAAGGCACAGGAACGCCTCCAGGATGCGGCGGTGCCACTACCTCTGATTGCCCAGCTGCACCCCCAGCACGCCTTGCTCGTCCTCTCAAAGAGCATCTCCCGCAGAATCTCCTACCTGCTTCGTACGACACCGGCGGAGGTACTAGACCGGGAGGAGTGGAGGACTTGGAGCGAGTCCTTGATGGCAACGGCACTAGCGGCGGCCAAGCTACGGGTCCCAGCCAGTGAGCTAGAACAGAGCCTTCTGTGGCGGCAGGGAACGCTACCTGTCAGGCTGGGGGGACTTGGTATCATCGACCCAACCTCAAAAGCACCTGCAGCATACATTGCGTCAATCACGGCAGCCCAGCAGCTACTTAAACAGATGAACCTTCCGGAGATGTATCTACTGAGCAGGGCAACGACACTACTGGACCATGGTTGGGTCCCAACCCCTCCTGAGGTCAACCCGCTGACCACTCTTGAGACGACCCTCCCAGCAACGGCAAGAACCGCCTTACAGGCGTACAGGGAGCGGCCGGTAGGACAGGGAAATCTGCAGCTGACGTTGTCGCGCCACATCAACGAGACACGGGCAGCTGAGTTGCTGGCGGACACAATCACAGACCGGCCCGGCACGGACCGCGGCCATGGAGTGCGCCTCATCAGCCTGCAAGGGGTGGGGGCGGGGGACTGGCTACATGCCGTGCCGACGAGATCTGACCTTACATTTGCCCCTGGTCAGTTCTCGTTGGCATTGGGCTTCCGCCTGGGCATGTCTCTGCCGGTCACTGTGAAATGCCCCTGCCTGAGAGGGAACTCCAGCATCACAGACACAAGCCTGGCGAACCACCTCCTACGTTGCGGTTATGGCGGGGATGTGGTCAGAACGCATAATGCGCTGGTGTATGCCGCTCTCAGAATGGCGAGGGAAGCAGATTTCACGTGCTTCCACGAGACGACAGCATTCTCCCCACTGGTATTCAGGAAGAGGGGGGACCTGGCCATCAGGGACAAAGAGTCCAATGAGACTTGGGTGACGGATGTAACGGTGACTGATCCAGTACTGCAGCGGCGAGACACACGGGCGAGGAAACCGCCGGGGTGGGCAGCGAGGGAAGCTTCAGAGCGAAGCACCGAATTTACGAGGGGCGGCCAGACTATGTAGGCTTCTTTGGACTGGCGGTCGAGACATATGGGGCCCTCTGCACTGACACACAGCAATTCCTTCGCCTCTTGGCCACCTCAGCAGCCAAGAAGAAGTACCGCCAGGGGAAACTGACCACAACAACTGCAAGGCTCACAGCTCACTACAGGCAGCGGTGGTCGGTCATGCTGCAGCGCTCTCAGGCAACTTCCTTCCTGAACAAGTCGAACATTGCAGATGAAGCGGCCTTCCCCCAGGCTGCGAGGGACCCCTGGGAGCCTAGCCTAGGGGATCTTTGGCAGGTGCTGGAGGATGAGATGGAGGAGGAGTGGACTCAGTGAGTAGGAGGAGCTATAGGCTAGCCGGTTAGCCATGGTTCTGCTGCTGTAGGATAGGCCTGTTTGCTTACTTGTCATGTGTGTCATGCCCGGCCTTGCATTGCCTTGCCTGCCTTGCATTGCCTGCCTTGCCTTGCCTTGCCTGCCCCCCCCGGCCGTCCTGTCTGTTTGCAGATATCCAGCCCGCTGCATGTACCTGCCTTGCATGTTTAGCTGCTTCAATGCCTAGGCCTGTCTAGCACCTATCCCTGCCTTGCCTGTACCCCTATGAACCTATCAATGAAGGACTGCTTGAGAGAGAGAGAGAGAGAGAGAGAGAGCTATAAAAAATCCTCGCCTTCGACCTCTCAGTCTTCCCCGCAAACGCCCCCGCTTGTCCCAGAATGACAAACGAAGAACTCTGCAACTGCTACATGCGCTCGCCCGCACTCCGCGCGCCCCTAGACCTCTGGCACAAATGGCTCGGTCATCCCTCGTACAGAGTACTGAACAAAAGCATACGCGCCCGTGTCTTCACGCTATGAGTTCTCCTACGACCAGCCGGCGACGAGCTCAGCGCAAACAGCGCCCCCCCTTGCTGCATGATCTGTCCGCAAACCGCGCTTCTTCATCAAGCGTTCAAGCTCATCGAACCAAGCACTAATCGTTACGAGAAGCTGCAAAGGGTCTACAACAATTTCCTCGTCCTCACTCACACAGAGATCAACGGCGAGGAGTACACGCTGAATCGTTGACGCCCACTCTCGTTTCATCTGAATCGCCAACGACGCGCTGCGAAGCAAGGCCTACGACTTCTTCAAATTTTGGCTAAGCAACGCGCAGACTCAGTCTGGCCGCACAATCGAAGATATGGCAAACACACTGCATAGCCGAATTCAAGAGCAAGGAGTTGAAGGATTTCACGGACGAAAAGGGGATAATTCACAAGCTGTCCCTCCCCTACGCGCACCCACAGCAAGGAGTTGCGGAACGTACAAACCGCACCCCCATGACAAAGGTTCTGGCACTGATGCATCAATCCGGCGTGGACACCAAGTACTAGCCTTACGCCATACACCACGCCATCCGTCTCCACACCTGCTGTCAACAACCGCAAACAAAGTCAAGTTGTCCTCTCGCCTGAAATTTACAGGAGAAAAGGGCGATGCTTCAATGCACAGTGTGTGGGGATGCATGGTACAGTACCGACCGGCCACTGCACTACAGTTCTCGCGATGCACTCAGTGGAGACTACATCGCAAAATGCCTATCTTTGCGACAGATTGGCGTGAACAACGCCTTCCTGTATGTAAAGGTTGGCGCGCTGATCTTTGTCTTCTAGCTGCACGCATATGGTGACAGCGACAACCGCGTGTGTCAGTTGAAGGAATCACTGTACGTCATCAAACAGGCACCACGACTTTGGCAACAACACCTTCTTCAAATTCTTCTGGCCATCAGCTTCGTGCACCTCCCACATGACCCAGGAATGTATCGACTTCATTTCCGCGGCGAATACATCCTCCTGACAGTCTACGTAGATGACCTACTCTTCATAGGGACCAGCGAAGACCTCCTTGACCTACAGTGCAAGCTAGCTCGCTCAATTTTCGTAGCTACCTGAAGGGGAGAAAATGCTGGACCTCCAGCGGGCACTGCAGTATTTTATCTCCACACCACACATCGGCCTCACCGTTTCCACAATCACGACTCACTCATTCTACCTTGGCTACGTCAACGCAGTTCACGCAGCAGATTCGACCAATCGACGGCTACGAACCGGCTTCCTATTTGGCTCGAACCCACTGTGCCAATTCCCTGGAATTCCCAGAAGCAGGAAATTATGGCGCTCTCCTCTGCCGAAGCCAAGTTTATTGATGCCACATCTGCAGTTCGCGAAGGAATTTTACCTTCAGTAGTCTGAAAGGAACCTGGCGCAGCGCGTCGACATCACCATTAACCACAAAGTCACACAGTTCAAGGGGCTCAACATCACTTACGCGCCAGAAGCAATTCACCTGTCAGCTTCTAAGTACGCAGAGGAACTGGGGGAGCGATTCAAGATTTCACCCGCACCACTCTCAACTCCCTATCGATCG